CTTTTAAGCCTTACTATTATTGCTTTGCTAGATTCGAAATGGCAGACGGTAAGGTACGTTGAAGATAGGACATCCCTGGCCCTCTTGGGAATATTTTAATGATGATACATAAAGGCTGTAATTAAATAATGACATGGTTTTCTCTTTGGTTTTCAGTGGGGGTTTTTCTATAAAACTTCTTGCCAGCAGACTCTAACAAATTTACACTGACAAAAAAAGAGTATCTATGAGAAAAAGAATCCAAACACCTTAAGCTGTAGGGTTGCCATTGAAGTCAATCTGCGATTAAAAGAGAAAATATTATAGGAATTGAGATTTCATATAATATTCATAAAATATTCAAAGGATAATCACCCGATATTGACATCAACTACAGCCTTAAGCATGTAGTTGTCATATCCATAAATAGGTCATCCAATTTTATGTGCTTCGAATGACTTTTTTTAGCCTAGCCTAGTGATAAAAAATCAGAGAATTCATTAATCTTCGTTTTTTTTTAGAACTACCCAATCCATTTCGTGTCTGGGTAGAAGTTTGTAATTTCCTGAACATCATAACCACAATAGCCGTTCGCTAATATCTGCTGAGTGAATTCCTGAAATAAGATCAAATTTCCTAGTGGGGGTGGAATGTGCCTCTAGAGGTGATACACCCGAAAGAAAGAGGGAGAGAGAGAAATTTTCTCCTCCTCAATTCACGTTAGATGATGTTGACATTATCGAAAGGAGAGAGATATATTTCCAGGCGCTTCGTCTCGACTGTATCTCGGCATTAATGTTGAAGCAATTGGATGAAAGAGGAGTAGAGTTTCCAGGAAAGTCCTAATTTTGTTTTTGGCCACACTAATAGTTTGCGATGTCTGAAAAAAGGAGGGGGTACTACTGCTACTACTGAAGGCGGGTAAGGATGATCATATATATGAGGCATTACTCCATCTAAGTATTAGAGATTGGTTTCCAGTTGTCAAGAATACAAAAACAGCATTTCCCTGTCATTTGGCGTATATCAGAATGGGACCCGTGACGGAACGTTTTGGCGCCCAAAAGCAAAGAAATAAACTTTTGCATATTAAATGTGCAAACAAGAAGGAGGAGGTGAATATTTCAAAGGTATCTAAAACCAAGAGTACTGCGATATAAAAAAAAACTATTAGATGATCAGCAGAACTGTCAGGCCGGATTCAATAGGTTTTATGAACACACGGCCACGGTGATCAATATAAGAAGATAGGATTTTTCCAAACTCGGTATCAATACCGAAAACAATATTAGTAGCTTTTGGCACAATTTAGATCGGGATGGTAGAAACTACCTCAAATTTTATTTTGTTTGGATCAACAGTGGTCGGTATGACACACCATTCCAACTGTCCAACCAAATCTACTCAACTTAGCCCAATCTCATTTTTGGCTATACAGGTTACCTTACTTTTGGTGAATTGGAATTATAAGCTGAACAAGGCTAATTAAAAAGCTACTACAACAACGACAACAAGTCAGAACAGAATGTGGCAACAACAAATTTTGTTTTAGCCGATTTAAGTCTGCGAACTTCAGCGCCATACATGAAACAACAACTAACGACCTGATTCTGTCATTATCTGAACCATCCATATCCTATCCCAACATTCTTTGCACTTTTGTAATAAAATTAAGGTATTTGAGTTGTGTGCCTTTTATAAAGAAAATAATTGTATCAAAAAAGTGTTGACGAAATAATTTGAAAGTCATTCATTTTTAAGCGTAGCCCATTGCCTGAAGCCATTGTACCTTTGGCGTCACGCAATTTATTCCACTGAGGCGTCATCATCATCTTCATCATCGCCTCGATGTGCAGACATTTATTCCAGTATAGGCTTGACTAGCTATTGGTCATCTTATAAAATCTCTCTTGCTGTTTTTTTGCTTTTGTTGTCGTTGTATGTGAATCCGAGCAAAGTGAGACGACACCAAGATATGCCTTCAATGTGGTCAGCCGGCAAAACATTCCAACTCTGCACTCTGGGATGATTTAAAAAATACTTGTGATTCTTTTTTTCGGTCTTTTGTGCGATGATGTCGGTGTCAACATTGGCCATTGTTATTTCCCTTTTCATTTTCTACTCTCCCGCTCAACACCCTAGCTTCAGTTGAGATGAAATGTATCATAACAAATTGAATGAGAATTATTAAAGATATGTTGAGACAAACGCACAAAAAAGGCAGCTGAACATATCCCTTTGATTTCAAGAGTGAAGAGAGAGAATGATCGTAGGCTGTGTACAAATTTGCGTCTTCACTTATTTTGCCTTCTGTGAGACGCGAAGGCAATCCTTCTTTTTTGTGTCTGCCGTTGAAAGAATATGTGAAAATGCCCTTCCACACATTTCAAGTTGCCCCTCTTTGTTTGTGTGTGTTACTACTACTGCTGTAGCCAGAACTGACCTCGCTAATAATTCTTGCTGTTTTTGCATGGAATTGGCGTTATTGTTGTTTGCTGCTGATTTTCGGTCATTCACATTTTAGCGCTTGAATTTCTTTTTTCATGCATTCCTTTTTTTTTATTGTCACGTTTATTTATTGTATCCATTGAGACATTTAGGTTCTCTCGCTTCGCTGCTGATTAATTCTGGAGAAACCAACAACCGGAAATACATATCAAGCGGCATGTGATCAACAACATATTCTTATGAATTTCTAAAAGATAATGGCTTTGGGGCAACGGCGAAGAATAAGAAAAGAACTCGTGCCAATGATGCAGGACGTTGTGGTTAAGAAGAAAATGAAAAACCTGAATATAAACAATCGGAAGAGATGCAGATGGATTGAGTGGGCATAATAATGAAATGAATTGAAAGAGATGAGAATTTTTGAAATTGTTATAGAAAAAGCATCTCATGATTTAGCTGCAAAATTATTTTAAATTCCAATTGGTGTGGAAATTTAATAGTTAAAACTTCTGATTGCAGATATGCCAAATATCCCTTAAAACTGGGGTGAAGGGCGATTTCTGTCACAAAAAGCAACTTACACATTTTGAAGTTTAAATCAAATATGGCGCCCAACGTATATATTGCTAGATAAAAAGCAAATAGAAGCATATGTAGGGATTACAAATATGCAGATAAGATTGGATTAATTTCTATATTTCTTAGTGGAATAAATTAAGAAGAAATCAAGACATCTCAAACAGATGATGGAATTATCCGTGTCACTGATATCTTACCATGAATGGGAAATTTTCAGCAAGTATATCTATTAGCCACCTCAATAAATTTTCTGTACATGCAGTATATTCTACAGGTTTTCTATACACCGAAGACCGTCTATAGTCTTCTATACAAAATATAGCTGAGTTTTTTGATTTTTTTTGTGGGGTCCTATACATATAATTTTTTTAAGGGATTACTGTAGTGGAAAACTTTCTACAGATCTTCCAAATTTTCACTCTCATATATATTATATATTTTATTCTATTCCTTTGATAGAATACCATCCGAAATGTGGTTTTTATTCCACTCGCTTATCTGTCAATCTGTACTAATATAAAAAAACATAAGCTTGTGGTTTGTAACTCTCTCTCTCCCTCTCTCTCTGTACAGTGTACAACTTTCGACCCATACTAGCACTACAAGAGGCCATTTATTTAATTTATAATTAGAGCTGAAAATTGTTTTTCCTTTGTTTTTGTTTCGTTTCTCTTTTTTTTCCTCCTTTTCTCCAGAGTAATTAAAAAATGCGTAACTCAGAGGTAACACTCTTAAATTTCAAAGTAAATGATGTCGGCATTTTTTTAAGACTGCAGGCACGGTACGATCCTCCAGCTACCAGTAAAGCAAGCAACCAACGGATCCATCCATGGTTGTTACAGACGAATCAGACAATAATAAATAATAAAAAAACAAGACCAAAAAATACACCAAAGAAGCAACAGTTTATTGTTATTGATGTTAATGGCTTGACTTATGAAGGAAAGTCGTGGCCACAGTAGCCACAGCAAAGACAAGCTTTCGTTGGATAAAGTAGCGGCATATGGAGATGATGATGAAGCACATTATTCACAAAAAAAAAGAAGCAGACCCATAAAGGAGGTTCGTGCCCCCCACAAGAAAAGCAATCCATCCGCACATATTGAGTGTGTGGAAAAAATATATATTTCATTTTTATGTTTATTTCAGAGCTGGCTAAAATTCAGGCAAATAGCCAAAGATCCCAAAAATGCATCAAAAAGAAGGAGTGGTCTTGGTTTTCGTTTTTTTTTCTCTTTTCTTTACTCATTTCACTAATTGCCTTCAAGTTGTGCGTGATTTTGCGTAATTATTTCTTCGATGATTTTTTTTTGTTTTGTTTGGTTTGTAAAGATGTGTTTTTCTACAGCCTATTCTCCTGAAGTTGGAGGCTAATTGATTTTTCAACCATGATTAATGGCCCCATCATTTTGTAAGAACATAATTAACAACAAAGCCTTAGGCTTGTCCAACAAACCGAACATACTCACTTAGTTACATACAGATGCTATGTTGCCTGGCTCCAGCCAACCAGCCAGCCAGTTAGCCAGCCATGCCTTTAGACATTGGCTGGTGGGTAATGATTGCATCAATGGTTTTTACCAAAAAAGGTGTTGATATTGTTTTAAAGATGAGAATTGATGGACACTTGTCATTGACACTTACCTAAAATGAGACAGAGAAAAGAAGATGAAGAATAATTAATTAGTTAAATAATAGTTGTGACGACCAAAAATCGTGGCACTCAATTTTGCTCACACCTTGCAGTGTTATTTGTTCTTTAATAATAAATAAATATTCTAAAACTCAACTTTCTCATTTGTCTCGGTTAAAAGAAAACAACAAAATACAAGGGGTTACCGTTATTCTCACACATCACAGCCATTGGTTGTGATGATCACAGCCAATGTTGTTGTGACAAGTTGATCAAAACAAGTTCCCGTTATCTCACGCTAGAACACGTGGTTGGGGCTTGCTATAAAAGGGAGATCAACGAGTGAGAAGGGAGTCAGTGCCGGACAACGACAGAAGACACATCCATCCCAGGTGAGTGATACATTGTATGAATAATTCTAATAGCCGTCCTAGGGTACTTATCCAGGTCCCTATTCCCTTCCGTGTCCTTGCTTGAGTACTTATCCAGGTCTCTTGCAGTATAATCCTTGCCTAAGTAGAATCCTTGCGTATCCTTGAATAAGTAGAATCTTTGCGTATCCTTGCCTAAGTAGAATCTTTGCGTAACCTTGCCTAAGTAGAATCCTTTCGTGTCCTTGCCTGAGTACTTCTTAAGGTCTCTCGCAGTAGAATCCTTACGTATCCTTGCTTGAGTACTTATTAAGGTCTCTCGCAGTAGAATCCTTACGTATCCTTGCTTGAGTACTTACTAAGGTCTCTTGCCGTAGAATCCTTTCGTATCCTTGCTTGAGTACTTATTAAGGTCTCTTACCGTAGAATCCTTTCGTATCCTTGCTTGAGTACTTATTAAGGTCTCTCGCCGTAGAATCCTTACGTATCCTTGCCTGAGTACTTACTAAGGTCTCTTGCCGTAGAATCCTTTCGTAGCCTTGCTTGAGTACTTATTAAGGTCTCTTGCTGTAGAATCCTTACGTATCCTTGCTTGAGTACTTATTAAGGTCTCTTGCCGTAGAATCCTTACGTATCCTTGCTTGAGTACTTATTAAGGTCTTTTGCCGTAGAATCCTTACGTATCCTTGCTTGAGTACTTATTAAGGTCTCTTGCTGTAGAATCCCTACGTATTCTTGCTTGAGTACTTATTAAGGTCTCTTGCCGTAGAATCCTTACGTATCCTTGCCTGAGTACTTATTAAGGTCTCTTGCCGTAGAACCCTTACGTATCCTTGCTGGAGTACTTATTAAGGTCTCTTGCCGTAGAATCCTTACGTATCCTTGCTTGAGTACTTACTAAGGTCTCTTGCCGTAGAATCCTTTCGTAGCCTTGCTTGAGTACTTATTAAGGTCTCTTGCTGTAGAATCCTTACGTATCCTTGCTTGAGTACTTATTAAGGTCTCTTGTCGTAGAATCCTTACGTATCCTTGCTTGAGTACTTATTAAGGTCTCTTGCTGTAGAATCCCTACGTATCCTTGCTTGAGTACTTATTAAGGTCTCTTGCCGTAGAATCCTTACGTATCCTTGCTTGAGTACTTATTAAGGTCTCTTGCCGTAGAACCCTTACGTATCCTTGCTTGAGTACTTATTAAGGTCTCTTGCCGTAGAATCCTTACGTATCCTTGCTTGAGTACTTATTAAGGTCTCTTGCCGTAGAATCCTTACGTATCCTTGCTTGAGTACTTATTAAGGTCTCTTGCAGTAGAACCCTTACGTATCCTTGCTTGAGTACTTATTAAGGTCTCTTGCCGTAGAATCCTTACGTATCCTTGCTTGAGGACTTATTAAGGTCGCTTGCCGTAGAATCCTTATGTATCCTAGCCTGAGTACTTATCAAGGTCTCTCGCAGTAGAATTCGTGTGTACTGCCTAGCTTATTTCCCCAATAGACCTACGTAACTGGAAAATCCGAATCCCAGTGAGAGTATCCTGTGTGAGAGTACTTACCCAGGTCTCCAACTCCCAACATCCCAGTCCATTCCCCACCAGGAGTACTTATCTAGGTCTCCATTTCGAAGGACGGCAAAAGTTACCCACCTAATCTCGGACAGACGTCATCCTAGTAGTATTAAGCAATATCTCAGTTTACTTTGTATATACCTCTATTGCGTACGGAATAAACATTATAGAACGTAAAACACTCGTCTTTCTCTTTCTCTCTCGCACACAAACAAATTTTCTGTTACGAACCTTGGCCCCGGCGAGCTTACTCCAGCCTAAGGGGAAACCTGTCGTTACAGTGGCGCCCGAGCAGGGACCTGAGAGAGTTAGAGAGTGTATTAAGAATTCTATAAAATGTCGGTAGATTTACGTGTGTCCTGGGCGTACAGCCTTCGTAAGGACGATTTAAATAGGTACCTCGACGAGTTTAACTGCGATACCGATGGAACGGTTGAAGAACAACGAAAGCGATTCGCGATGTACATAGCCCAATACCACCCCCCGGAGATTATGAAAAGACTGTTAGAAATCCAAGCTATACATGAGAGGGACACGAAGGTGGCGACGCCTAGGAAACTGAGCGCAGAAACAGATGGCGAAGAGGCAACTCGGATAGAAGTACCAATGTCCCGGGGCAAGAAAACACCAGACGTGCAAACAATCGCGGAACAAGTACGGAAGTGGGGCATAAGCTTCACCGGTGAAAGTAAACCTTTGGAATTCGTTGAGAGATTGGAAGAAAGGGCGGAGATGTACCAGATCCCTAACGGCAATTTGATCACCGTAATGCCAGAAGTGCTTCATGGTCGGGCATTGATGTGGTTCCGGAACAACAGAAAACCCTGGCGATCCTGGGAGGAATTTCGAAAGGATTTCTTGAAATTCTTCCTCCCTCCGAGGTTTATGGAGAATTTGGAGGACGAAATCCGGCAACGAAAACAGAAGCCGCGTGAACTGTTCAAGGACTACATGCTAGCGATGCAAGACCTAATGAGACACACTAGTTACAACGAGGAGCAGAAAATGGAACGAATTTTTAAGAATGCCTTACCGGAATACTTGTGGTACATCAGACGGAGGGACTTCACCAATCTGGCGGGCCTCTTAGAGATGGCCGAAGACTTAGAGGATATCCCGACCATGCCAACCGTAGCCAGAGATCACCACCACCGAATTGAGTCACGAAGCTCGGAGAGTATGCGTGAGGTACCGATCAACACAGCCACGGCTTGTCGAAGATGCGGCCAGGAGGGCCATTTCGCAGCTGGATGCCGCAATCCACAGAAGCTCTTCTGCTGGGAGTGTGGTCGAAGAGGCATTCGGACGATACAGTGCTGTCGAAAGCGATCGGGAAACGAGCATCGAGTCCGCATGGAGGTAGAGAATGTGGGCTCGCAGACACCCACTCCAACTCAGGAGGAACATCGCTCTACAGTACCGCCTCACGCATAATTGCAGAAATTATAATTCACAGTCGGCGTTGCCTGGCCACCGTTGACACAGGGGCAACCAGGAGCTTCATAAGTGAGGCGTACGCCCAGACGATCGATCCCCAAACCATACAGAGAACACAGGATATAACGATCGGGTTGGCAGACGGGTCACAACGGAGAGTTCAGCATTCGGTGGTTACCGATCTAATCTTTGGACAATGCAGAATGAAAATGGAATTCCTGATTATGCCCCACGCCAGCGAAGATATAATCTTGGGGATGGATTTTCTCCAACGGAGCAGGACTAAAATACTTTGTGCTGGGTTAAGCTGTGTCATACCGTGTATCGAAGAAACAGAGAGAACAATCGAAAAGCATCTACACCTGACAGTAACCACACACCAACCACCGGAATCCGAGAAAGACGACGGCACAAACACGATAAACCCGGGATTGCAAGAACCTACCTTGTCACCCACGGTAAGTGTGCTAAGCCCCACTGATCAAGAAAGGATAAACGCTTTCCTCAACGAAGAACTAAGCAAATTTCAGGAGTTGCACGGATTCTCTACGGTCGCTTCTCACCGAATTGTCATGAACGACGATAGGCCATTCAAGCTGCGGTATGCAGCAAGGAACCCAGCAATGCAGGCCATCGTCCAGGAAAAGGTAAATGAACTCCTTAGTAAGGGATTTATAGAACCTTCACGTAGTCCGTACAACTCACCAATTACATTGGCTCGAAAGAAGAACGGTACTTGGAGACTTTGTATGGATTTTCGCCATTTAAACAGTAAGTCCGATCCCGATGCGTACCCCTTACCGCGGATCTCGTCCATTCTCGACCGACTCAGGGAGGCGAATTTTGTCAGTAGCCTCGACTTAAAGGATGGATATTGGCAGATACCATTGGAAGAGACTAGCAGAAAGTACACGGCATTCACTGTACCCGGGAGAGGGTTATACCAATGGCGGGTGATGCCTTTTGGACTGCATTCCGCCCCCGCTACATTCCAACGTGCCCTCGACACCGTAATAGGCGCTGACATGGAACCACACGCATTTGCCTATTTAGATGACATCATTGTCATAGGTAAAACATTAGAAGAACATTTGGAAAATTTAAGAGAGGTGTTCCGAAGACTACGAAGGGTGAATCTGCGCATAAACCCAGAAAAATGCGACTTTTTCAAGAAAGAGACCAAATACCTCGGCCACGTCGTTAGCGCCCAAGGCATCCACACGGACCCAGATAAGGTTGCGGCCATTCGTGAACTGCCAACCCCCAACTGCCTAAAAGAACTCCGCCGGTTTTTAGGAGTAGTGTCGTGGTACCGCAGATTTGTTCCTGATTTTGCAACCTTAGCATACCCTCTCACCTCCATGTTGAAAAAAGGAAAGCATTGGCGTTGGACCGAGAACCAGCAAACAGTTTTTGAAATACTGAAGCTTCGTCTGACAGAAGCACCGGTACTAGCTTGCCCGGATTTTGCAAAACCTTTTTCACTACAAACAGATGCTAGTGACTACGGGCTAGGAGCCGTATTAACGCAAGTCCTCGAAGGCACGGAGAGAGTCATTGCGTATGCTAGTAGGGTCCTAATTGGAGCAGAAAGAAATTACTCCGCAACTGAGAAGGAATGTCTAGCCATAGTTTGGGGTATTCGGAAGATGCGCCCCTATTTAGAAGGTTATCACTTTAATGTTATAACCGACCATCTATCTTTGAAGTGGCTCAACTCCATCGATAACCCTACAGGCAGGTTGGCACGCTGGGCCCTCGAGCTGCAACAATACACTTTTCGATTCAATACAGGAAGGGCCGCTGTAACGTCGTAGCAGATGCACTGTCACGTCAACCTGTGGAATACCTCCAAAGAGCAAAAATAGAGTACAGCGGATGCCCGTGGATAACGAAGAAGATAGAAGGTATGAGAACAAACCCGGAGAAATTTGCAGATTATGCGCTGGTGAATCAGCAACTCTTCAGGCATATTGCAGGGAACTCACACGACGAAGATTGCGCCCCTTGGAAACTTTGTGTGCCCGAACCCCAGAGACATCGAGTACTACAGGAAAATCATAGCCAAACGTCCGCAGGCCATATGGGAATTCGCAAGACAATCAACCGCATATGCAGCAGATATTACTGGCCGGGAATGACAAGGGACATCACCAGATTTGTTCGGAGTTGTGAATCCTGTCAACGCTATAAACCGTATCAGGTCGCGCCGGCAGGAGAAATGTTGGTGTCGGTTCCCGAGGAGCCATGGGCCACTGTTTGTACGGACTACGTAGGTCCCTTACCACGAACTAGACATGGGAACACGATGCTCCTGGTTTTCTTCGATCGTTTCTCCAAATGGGTGGAACTGATACCACAGAGAAAAGCGACTGCGGAAGGGGTAGTGAAGGCGTTCCGTGAAAGAATCCTTGCTCGCTTTGGAACCCCAAAAATCCTTATATCGGACAACGGCAGTCAATTTACAAGCAGAGTTGTTAGGAAATACTTGGATGAAATCGGAGTGCACCACCAGCTAACCGCACCGTATTGCCCACAAGAAAATCCGACCGAAAGAGCCAACAGAACGGTGAAAACAATGATTGCTCAGGTATGCCAGAATAAGCACAATCGGTGGGACGACTTCTTACCGGAAATATCCCTGGCGATAAATACGGCGACTTCTGAGTCGACCGGATATAGTCCTGCGTATTTAGTACAAGGCCGTGAACCTAGATTGCCAAAAGCACTCTACGACGAAGCTGTCCCTGGTACAGGACACACCCCCAAAACACCTGAGGAGAGAGCGAACGACTTACAAGAAGTTTTTAAAATAGTCCGGAACCAACTCAGTCTGGCGGCTGAGGAACAGCGTCGGCACTATAATCTTCGTCGGCGGCCCTGGAAACCGGTAGTTGGGGAGAAGGTACTAGTAAAGCAGCACCCACAGTCCAAGGCAATTGATCAGTTTGCTGCCAAGCTGGCACCAAAATACGATGGGCCATTCGAAGTGATAGAATTCGTGTCGCCAGTAATAGTTAGAATACGAGGACCCGACAAACGTTCGACCCGGGTTGCCCATCTTAGTGAACTCAAACCGTTCGTGATAAATTAACGTTTTCCCATTTTTCTTTGTCATCTGCAGATTAAACCATGAAAACCAAGGCAGCACAGAAGCAGGGTGGTGATTGGCCAATCACCAAAGTTTGCGAGGTCCGCTTGAACCGCTTAACACCCCAGGTCATTCTCCAGATAATGAGAGAATTAAAGGCACAGCCCTACCCGAGGCCAAACGAAGTCTCCCGAGCCCTCGAGATTTTACGCAGCCGAGGGATCACCGCCGAGCTCGCTGCACCGGAGGTGGTGTATATTTCCTCGGATGACGATCTGAATACCCCGCCAAGGCCAGTGAGAGAGAGGAGCTCAAGACCAAGCACCCCGTCCCCGGTGGTTTCGCCACAGTCTGAACAAGGAATTCGGCGGGGAACAACACCCCATGACGATTGGAGTTGGTTGCTGGCGAGCCCGGTTCCTGCTAAACCAAATGGGCTCCCTATAACCCCCGGCCGCGGCATGCAGGCTAACTCACCTAGCGGCCCCTCGCTTGGAAGCACAATCGTCGGTAGTCCAGGGAGTGATGTTGCCTACCTCCAGCAAATATTGGAAGGGCTCCCAAAACCCGAATACCCGAGACCGTTGGCTGTTCCGGAAGCAGTGGAAGGCACGGGAGACAAACCGAGGTTGAAGAGTGTGGTGGTCATACCAAAGGCAGCAGAGAAGAGGGTGGAGTTCGTCTGCGCAAGAGCGCTATCTCCGGATACGGACAGAGAACTTCAGCCGCACTTGGAAGCAGCCTTAGCGCTACATAGACCAGGCAACCAATATAAGAGAGTCGTGGAAGTTCGCGGAAAGAGGTTGCGGATATTGGTTGGCCGGAAGGGCAATGTGACGGTCATTCCTCGCGGTCAAGAGGACCCCACCCCAGGGAAGGGGGAAGTGTGACGACCAAAAATCGTGGCACTCAATTTTGCTCACACCTTGCAGTGTTATTTGTTCTTTAATAATAAATAAATATTCTAAAACTCAACTTTCTCATTTGTCTCGGTTAAAAGAAAACAACAAAATACAAGGGGTTACCGTTATTCTCACACATCACAGCCATTGGTTGTGATGATCACAGCCAATGTTGTTGTGACAAGTTGATCAAAACAAGTTCCCGTTATCTCACGCTAGAACACGTGGTTGGGGCTTGCTATAAAAGGGAGATCAACGAGTGAGAAGGGAGTCAGTGCCGGACAACGACAGAAGACACATCCATCCCAGGTGAGTGATACATTGTATGAATAATTCTAATAGCCGTCCTAGGGTACTTATCCAGGTCCCTATTCCCTTCCGTGTCCTTGCTTGAGTACTTATTATACTTGCAGTATAATCCTTGCCTAAGTAGAATCCTTGCGTATCCTTGAATAAGTAGAATCTTTGCGTATCCTTGCCTAAGTAGAATCTTTGCGTAACCTTGCCTAAGTAGAATCCTTTCGTGTCCTTGCCTGAGTACTTCTTAAGGTCTCTCGCAGTAGAATCCTTACGTATCCTTGCTTGAGTACTTATTAAGGTCTCTCGCAGTAGAATCCTTACGTATCCTTGCTTGAGTACTTACTAAGGTCTCTTGCCGTAGAATCCTTTCGTATCCTTGCTTGAGTACTTATTAAGGTCTCTTACCGTAGAATCCTTTCGTATCCTTGCTTGAGTACTTATTAAGGTCTCTCGCCGTAGAATCCTTACGTATCCTTGCCTGAGTACTTACTAAGGTCTCTTGCCGTAGAATCCTTTCGTAGCCTTGCTTGAGTACTTATTAAGGTCTCTTGCTGTAGAATCCTTACGTATCCTTGCTTGAGTACTTATTAAGGTCTCTTGCCGTAGAATCCTTACGTATCCTTGCTTGAGTACTTATTAAGGTCTCTTGCCGTAGAATCCTTACGTATCCTTGCTTGAGTACTTATTAAGGTCTCTTGCTGTAGAATCCCTACGTATCCTTGCTTGAGTACTTATTAAGGTCTCTTGCCGTAGAATCCTTACGTATCCTTGCCTGAGTACTTATTAAGGTCTCTTGCCGTAGAACCCTTACGTATCCTTGCTGGAGTACTTATTAAGGTCTCTTGCCGTAGAATCCTTACGTATCCTTGCTTGAGTACTTACTAAGGTCTCTTGCCGTAGAATCCTTTCGTAGCCTTGCTTGAGTACTTATTAAGGTCTCTTGCTGTAGAATCCTTACGTATCCTTGCTTGAGTACTTATTAAGGTCTCTTGTCGTAGAATCCTTACGTATCCTTGCTTGAGTACTTATTAAGGTCTCTTGCTGTAGAATCCCTACGTATCCTTGCTTGAGTACTTATTAAGGTCTCTTGCCGTAGAATCCTTACGTATCCTTGCTTGAGTACTTATTAAGGTCTCTTGCCGTAGAACCCTTACGTATCCTTGCTTGAGTACTTATTAAGGTCTCTTGCCGTAGAATCCTTACGTATCCTTGCTTGAGTACTTATTAAGGTCTCTTGCCGTAGAATCCTTACGTATCCTTGCTTGAGTACTTATTAAGGTCTCTTGCAGTAGAACCCTTACGTATCCTTGCTTGAGTACTTATTAAGGTCTCTTGCCGTAGAATCCTTACGTATCCTTGCTTGAGGACTTATTAAGGTCGCTTGCCGTAGAATCCTTATGTATCCTAGCCTGAGTACTTATCAAGGTCTCTCGCAGTAGAATTCGTGTGTACTGCCTAGCTTATTTCCCCAATAGACCTACGTAACTGGAAAATCCGAATCCCAGTGAGAGTATCCTGTGTGAGAGTACTTACCCAGGTCTCCAACTCCCAACATCCCAGTCCATTCCCCACCAGGAGTACTTATCTAGGTCTCCATTTCGAAGGACGGCAAAAGTTACCCACCTAATCTCGGACAGACGTCATCCTAGTAGTATTAAGCAATATCTCAGTTTACTTTGTATATACCTCTATTGCGTACGGAATAAACATTATAGAACGTAAAACACTCGTCTTTCTCTTTCTCTCTCGCACACAAACAAATTTTCTGTTACGAACCTTGGCCCCGGCGAGCTTACTCCAGCCTAAGGGGAAACCTGTCGTTACATAGTGTATATAAATATAAATTTAAAATAAATACAATTTTCGAGATATTTTTAAGGCAAAAGAAAACTGTTTGAATTTCCATTTTCATGGAATTGCATCAAAAATTTAGGCTATGAAAAAATGTGGGAATTTCTTAAGAAAAACATTGACTTAACCCCTTACAAAGTAATGTAAAGTAGATGTACTTTCGCATGATCAGAAACCGGAGTTATACACAAAAAGAAATTGAAAAATATATAAAAATCCATAGACGAGGATATATATATATATATATGAAGAGATTATATAATTTAAATACAATATATACTGATGTTAATTTATTTATAAATTTTCAAAATTGTTAAAGAATCGCATTGAAAACCCATAATCTGCCCATAAAATTTAAGTTAACGCTACAGCCATTAATAATGTTCCTAGGGTGTTTAATATTTTAAAACGTACATTGGTATGGGTTCCATGCAACGGTAAAGTAAGTACTTCGATCTTTACGCATGCATTTTCCAACAAAAAAAAAAGCCCGTTATATTGATAGAATATCTCCCTACATTCAGTCTAAGATTTGGGAATGGCCTCATAGAACACCTCATATTTGGCCGTAGGTTGATAAATACCTTTTCGCAAAAAATGCTTAATGTAAATCCCAGCCTTGGAACAGCTCCAATATAACAGTAGCTCACAATTGCTGGTATTTTGAAGGTACAGGTCAATTGATAGAATATCTCCCTAAATTCAGTCTAAGATTTGGGAATGGCCTCATAGAACACCTCATATTTGGCCGTAGGTTGATAAATACCATTTTCAATACCAGAAGTTCTGCAGACATAATACACATTTGAGTAAAATTTTATCAACTTACTTCATTTTGTTCGGAAGCTAGAGTGATTTTTACAGACAGACGGACGAACATCGCTAAATCGACATAGAATTTTGTGCTGATCAAGAATATATGTATGTACTTGTGAGGTCTAAAATGTATATTTCGAGGTACCCTCCATACTTTGGTGGAGGGCATAACAATATAACATTTAAGTTACTACAAATGCATATATATTTGACGGAAACTAACACCACCCTCTCGCTCTCTTTCCTGCCGCAAAACACACCTTTACACCATCACAATAAATCGTGATGTCCGTTTTCATGTCAAAGGCCATTATGTTTGTTTGCCTATTGCCATTGTTGTACGGATTTCCTTTACAACAAATTTCGATTTGTTGTTACTGTAGTTGTTGTCGATGATGCCTTAAAATTGTAATAACACTTTATGCTGGGCAGAGATCATTGCATTTTTATTGATTTCAAGAAATATTCACATTTTTTGTTTTGTAAAGATCCGAGTTTTTCTTCTTCTGGATAGCCACCACATACACACAGCACATGTATGTAGCCATCTAGATATGTAGCAGAAACTGAAACTATTGTATCGACCAAAAAAAGAAAAAAAAGTTATATAAGTCGTGTTGCGACCATTAATACTTCCTTAATTGAAGTTCGCAGTTAGTTAAAGCGGCATCAGCATCAGCAACGGCATCATCATCAACATCATCGGCCAGTCAAGAGTCAGCACCATCAACAGCATCAATGGCTGGAGTAATGTTGCAAACACACACAAAAACTGTATGATGGATACAACAACAACACCAACGACGACCAACCAAGTGTAATGTGCAATGTGAGGCATAGGACAGCTACTCATCGATGACTTGGTCGTAGTCGTCATCCGTATCAGCATCGTGAGTGAGTATGATGTGGCATTGCTATCGTAGTATTTTGATAGAAAAAAAGCAAAACAAAAACACAAAACCAATGAGGAACTCAAGGAAAGCAATCGACAAGGGTTATAGAACAACAGCAATAACAAAAAATAGAAGAAGAAAAAACAACAACGACAACAACAACAAGTATTGTATAAGAAATACAATGAATGCCTAATACTTTGGCATAATTATCGCTGCAACGTGCAATGAATGCATTTTAATGCATTCACTCTTCATTGCAGCAGCAGAGGCAACCAGAACAACAACAACAACAGCAGCAGCAACAACATTAACCGCCAGCCAGCAAACATTATTGCGCCGTAGAATTTCAAACAAAGAAATGCCCAACCAGCCAGCCAGCCAGCCAGCGACATCATAGTAGTAGATGAACGAAAAAATGAGGAAGAAGAAGGAAACAAACGAACGACCGACCGTCCATAGTAGTAAAGAAAGACGTTTGAGCTAGAGGAATATGCACCACACATCTCAACAAACAAAAGCGTAACAGGGTAAGCGTTCTTTTCTTGTCCAAAGATTTTCAAGCCCACCATCACACAGCAGCAGCAGCAGCAATAGCTTCGGTAGGAAAACAAAACTAGAAGAAAAGCAAAATAAAGACGGAACTCATAAGATAAACGTTTACACGTTCGCTTGCAGCAAAAAAAGAAAACCAAAACAAAAAAGAGGCACATAAACAGACCAGAAACAACTGGAAATCTATTCTCAACAATCTAGAAGCTAAGGTTCTACTACAATCTTTAAAATGCAGCTGTAGTAAAGTGAACATGGTTTGTTTTGATCTATATAAGAGTTGCTGCAATGGCTAGTGCTGCTGCTGATGATGATCCATAATGGATGTTTTATAAAAAAAAATTAAATTAATAAAAAAATTAAAAAAAAAAAATACTCAAAAATGAAATAAATTAACAAAAAAAAAAAAAAAAAAAAAAAAAATGAAAAATATGTTGATAAATAAATCAATATATAAGAGATAAACTTATTTTCATGTCAGAATTTCGGTTCTTCTCATTTTCTCTGTGAAGCAGAATGCTTTCTTGGCGCATATCAATCTGGTTGATCTGGATTGTGAACACGGCTGCCGTACGAACGAGATTTTGTAAAAACCCTAGGGGTTAGCCTGAATTTTGACATCTCTAGAGGTTTGTTTAGTGTGACGCCACTGGTACTACCC